GGGATTAGTTCATTTTCATGTTGCTAATCCAAATATTAAGGAATACTTCAGAGAGTGATTTATTTCCAACATTTTGTTCTTCTGCAGAAGCAGACCATGAAAGATACTATCCCTACATATGTTGTATTGCTCTTAAAAACATGACTTCTTACATTTCCATATACATATCTTCAGTATGACAGTCACTACAGACAGTGCAGCTGTCAACGATAACACATAAAGTACACTGCCATATTTTTAATCAATGGCTCATTAAAGATAGGAGAATTATTCAAACAGTCTCATCAAGATGCGACATTAAAAATGGCAGCTGAAAGAATATCTGCTATATTTCTTTACAACGATTAATACTGCTGGGTAGGTGGGGAAAGTGTTTTCTATTTGATGTTCCCCGTGTTGCAGGAATAATATAGTCAAACACAATGGCTTTCAGAACTGAAGGAGATAACAAAGGACCAGATAGTGCAAAACAGACTTTCATCTAGTGATAGAAAAAGTACAAGGTTGCAAAGAAAAACGTCTCTCTTTTCTTTCTTTTTTCACTGTGAAGGTCCACTCCACTCAAGTGTCTTTTGAGACTAGCATGTTTTCACAATGAAATAAAAAAAAGAGATACATTTTCCTTTGCAAACGTATGCTTTTTCTACCACTGAGTTTTATTCTGAGTTTAAACCAATGGTTCATCTAGCTAAGGACTGTTAACCAATCTTCAAGGTCATAGGCAATAAAATATAGCAAAACCATTCTTACTTAGCTACTGCTTAAGTAGAAATAATGGATGTCCAACTAGGAGTCTTATACACAATCCACAATTATTGTATGCTTGTATTTTTATTTTATTTTTAAAAAAGAAGATTCATATATTGCCTTGCCACCCAAAGTGGCTCAAAATCAATTTAAAAAAATAGTTCAACATCACATGATCAAAAGAACTTCTGCAACAATTAAAAACAAAGAGAGTATTTAAAATAATTATTTGCTTAGCTAAGTTATCAACTGCCTAAAGATCTTAAAAGCGAGGCAAAAACATAAAGTGAGAGTCAGATGGATCTCCTGAGGCAAAGAGCTCCACAAACTGGCACAATTGTAGAGCAGGTCTCTCATATACTAGAATGGAGGACCATCCAATAAATGTTGGAAGACTCAAGACAGACAAAAGACAGTACTTCTTCACATAGCACATACGTAAAGTATGGAATTCTCTCTCAGAATATGTAAACATCATCGCCAGCAATTTGGACGGCTTTAAAAGAAGACAAGTTCATGAAGGATAAGGCTGCTGGCTACCAGCTATGAGGATGGTGATGCTCTACCTCCGCTATCTGAGGCAGTGAGTTGTTGAATGCCAGTTCCTGGTAACTGTAGGTGGGGATAGTACTGTTGTCCTGTTCATGGGTTTCCCACAGGCCCGACTGGCCTCTGTGAGGACAAGATGCAAGATGCCAAATGCACCTCAGATAAAGGAGGGGTGAGATGAAGGAGACATGCTTTCCACGGAAACTAACTGAATTCTGAAATGTTAGTCAATTCCTTATTTTGAAAACACATGCCTCAGACACAACCAAAAGAAAGCCAGTGTCTGTCAAGTGGTTGTGTAAGAGAGGCATTTGCTTGTTCTCTCCAGAGGAAGCAAAAGAAGGGAGAACAGTCAAGAGAATCCAAAGGTGATTTATATTTCATGAAGTCAACTTTACAGTATCGCAGAATTCATCTGAAGACTTAAGTATCAAATTTACTCTGCTGTAATTTTAGATTTTTCTTTATGAAGAAAGGGAGATATGGAGTCATCATAAAGTTCAGGTTCTCCACAGTATTATTTATTAATTGGATGGATTTGTACCCTGCCTCCCCCTCTGAACTAGAGCACAGGGGGGCTTCACCTGGGAAATCATTAAAACAACCAATTAAATTAGTTCCTAGTTGCAAGGAGAATCTAATAGAGAAGGGACTTCCAAGTTGCACTCTAGATTCTGCTTAAGTTCTTGATGGTGTGTGTCTCTTATTTAACAGTACATCAGTAGACTAAAAGGGAGTCTAACAGTGCAGTATGAAGCATATTTTCTCACAAGTAAATACCATTGAGTTCAATATTGGGGGGGGGGGGTGTCCAGTTGTGAGATATTCCTCCAAGGCATGCAGAAAAATCGGGCAACTTCTGAAGCCCCAGGCAGTAGTCAGTGAACTGCCTTTGGCTTCATGGGTCATAGTTGTCAGGCCTGATCCAAATGCATTATTTTTGTATACTTTTTCTGACTGTGTTCTAGTAATAGGAAAAGATGGTAATTTTAGGGCACGCTTCTGCTATGAAGGACAAACCCTGTAACAGATTGAGTACACAGAGCAGAAAATATCCAGGGGGAGGGGGAGGAATCTCTAGGGAAATCAGACCAACACAAATCTCACCATTACTCAGCACTGCAGTAACATGCAGATGTTTTTAGTGGTTCGAGATGCAAGCAGAGACTGGAAACTTTACATCCTTGACTCCAGCATGATTGCAACTGAGCCTCATCAAAGAAAGAGCCCATAATTTGTCAAAGAAAACAACCAATTAACATATGCCAGGGAGGGGGACGCTCCAGAACTGCTAATATATGATTGAAGAGCCAAGACAAATCCAATATTCTGTATTTTAAGAAATAAACATTAGTCTTTTAGTATTTCAACTGATAATGGATACTAGGGTTTAAAAACAGAAGAGAAATTGTAGTATTTCTTTTTGGAGTCACCACTGGTAGTTAGAATAGTAGCAAGACTTGCTAACACCACAGCTGCTATTTTGTATTAAGGGCATCTGAAAATACAGACTATCCCCTGAGTTAGGGGAGCCTTCAGTGATACATTTTGGCTTGTCAAGTGGAAGCACAGTCAGTTCTCATTTTTACAAACACATGTGCTTCAGGACTGCAATCCAAAATCCAGCTAAACTGCGCACCCCAAACCTCAGGAATCCAGATTCCTACACTACTGTGAGATGATTCTAATGTGACCATCACCAACCTGGTGTCCTCCAGATGTTTCCAATTGCAACTCTCATCAAGCCCAACCAGTATGGTCAACAGTCAGGGATTAAGGGTACTGTAGTCCAAAAGATCTGGAGAGCACCAGATTAGGGAAGAATGAGCTAATGTTTTGTTTTTGGTTTAAAATAGTGAATTTTGCCACCTGAATGCAAATTCTACTGAAAACTTACTGGATTTAAGACTAAGAAAGTGTACTTAAGACAGATGTGGGCTGGGAATCTGATCATAGTTAAATATATGGCATGATTCACAATTCTCCAAACTGTGTTGACATGACCCATCAAGCAATGATGGTGCTTGTGAAGGAGTAGGGCAGTCACAGTAGCTCCTAGCTAGGAACAGAGTGCCATGAGTTTACAGTTCCGACCATGAACTGTTACAACTGGTCATTTACAGCTCTGTTGAGAACTGTTGCAAGGCCTAAGGGACATGAGGCAATCCTGGCATTCCCTAGGCCTAATAGTGATGGGAGATGATGATGATGATGATGATGATGATGATGATTATGCAAAAGTTGAGTGAATAAATAAACACCATTTACAAAATACCAATTAAATTCATTGGACTCCAAGAGGCATCTTCCAAAGAATTAAACTTTGGATAGATTTTGCCCAAGTCAAGTGGGTGGACTGAAGGGAATGTTACAAAGCATTAGCATGCACAACAAATCCACAGATCCAAAGAATGACAAGCAGAACAAAAATAGCCACTAGCAAAAAAATCTTTCCCCCCCACTTGCTTCACACAAGCAAGTGGGGAAAAACGATTCAAACTAGCCCAATGGTTGCCATGAATTTGATTTTGAATTGATTTTAAAATGAATTGATTTTAGAATGTTGTGTTACTTTTGTTGTTGTTAGCCGCTCTGAGCCCGGCTTTGGCTGGGGAGGGTGGGATATAAATAAGATTTTATTATTATTATTATTAAGTTTCCCTTTCCTCATTCAACTCCCAAGTGTGAAGTGTAACAGTCCTTGCATGAGCAGACACCAGTTCAATATAGATGCAACCCATTCATCTACCTACATCATATGCATTAATAATGGCTCTAAGTTCATTGTATATACAAACTGTTGTAAGGATAGGGCTCTTTCACCCCAAATATTGTGGAACATTAACATTATGCCCTTTGCATCTTTTTAAAATGTGCCATTCTGTTTTGCCATTCTGCCTGTGCATCTGTGTGGCTCTGAATGCATGTCTTCTCCTTTTTTCATTCTCTCCATTTTTGGAAAAAATGCAAAGGTTTTAAAACTTCTGAGTATGAATATTTATCAGTAAAAACCCAAACTCCTCTTGTTGAAGCCGAACAGCGGAATCTAATTTTATTTACCAATTGCAAAAGTTTTTATTGCAAAAAATTTTATTGCAAAAACTTGCAGAAATTTGCAGATGTCATCTGTGTCCACCAAGGGAACTAACTCCATGTGTGCCCTGAGGAGGAGGGCAAGGTCCAATTTTAATCAAACAAGTCAATAAGTAAATACATAAAAGAGCGCCCATTATGGAAGAGGTGTTTTCTTCTGCTCAAGTACTTGAACTGTATATCACTTCTATTTATATTGGATGTGCATGTATGAAATTCATTCCCTTGAAGATCATATCATACTGTTTATCCCTTCCTATTTCATCAGTCACATATCAGTTCCAGTTCAGCCACACCCTTGTTCCTGCAAATACTTCTGCCCACACTGTGCCATGACCACTTCTACCAAAGTCAGTAACCTTCTCGGAAATAAAAAGATGTGGAAATGGGAGAAAGTGAGTTGGGGTGCCCATGTGATTAAGAATGAAATCCTATGCACACTTACATGGGAGTAAGCTTCATTGAACAAAATCAGGCATAGATTGCACAGTTAGTCGCAGATATCATGGGGTTTGCAGGAAACAGCAAGGATTCTTAGAATCATAGAATTGTAGAGCTGGAAGGGGCCACAAGGGTCATCTAGTCCAACCCCCAGCAATGCAGGTATCTTTTGTCCAACATAGGGCTTAAACCCACCACCATGAGATGAATAGCCTCGTGCTCTACTCACTGAGCTATCTGATATGAAGGCTGCAGTGTGCACACCACTGGAGGAATGATTTGCAGAATGAAATAAAGGATACTCACAAAAATCAACAAATGATGAAGAGGAAGAGAAAAATGGGGGGATTTATTTGGCACAGCACACAACAGAACATAGATATGCAGAATTCAAGAGAAGAACGTGGGAGGGAAGATTAGTTTGGCCAAGTCCAGTCTATAGATTTGTCCATTTAAAGACCTGTCAGCCTTAATTAAAAGGCCTCACATACTACTTAAACTGTGTGACATATGGCCAAACCATGTTAACGAGAAAGAGACACTTTCTGCCTCCCTGAATCCACATGAGCTCCTGACATGATCCAATCAGGTCCATGGCAGAGCAGTTACTGGGGGTGGGAGGGATTCAATGACAGCTTACACTGTTATAATCCCATTGACTTTAGTGGAACTTACACTGGTGTAATTGGTTGTGCAAATGCCTCTTTAAAATGTTAATTATTCATGCCAGTAACTGTGGTGTGTTCATGTTTGCATAGCAGGCGATGCCATACTCTGGGTCTATGTTCAGTTCTTATTCTGCAATGACAAGATTCATAAGAAACAGAAGCCAGTTTCAGTTCATAACACATTCTTGCTTGGGGAGTAGCAGAAAAGCCTGTGTATGCTTATTAAACCATAGAAACATAGATCAATTAACACAAAGTGCAGAATGAAGAAATTATTTACCATAGACTACACTCTGTAGTACACTCTGACACTCACAGGAAGCAATCGTTCATATATTCCCATTTTGAATGATTTCATGGAAAATAATTGCTACTTTTTAGAAAATGATGTTCCTGACGGCACTTGCAGAATTGCTGGTGGAAGTTGCAAATGAGTTTGCATGGCTGGGTTTCCTCAGCTCATTTTCCACCACAATAAAACATAATCACCCTGCACTTTACTTTGTCGATGTTTTGCACAAACCAAGGCAAATTCAGACAACCTTTTAAACACCTGACATCATAGGATTACTCCATGCGCTCTAACTGACTAATTCAATGTGTAGTCAATTCACAGTTTATGCAAACACATTATATTCTGATAATGTGTGTACAGATGCATGAACTGTGATTTGTCTACGATCTCTATGACAGGTTTCATCTAACTGTGAATGGACAGAGAGGGGAGCACTTTTGGACAAGTTTTCCCTTTCTCCTAGAGCCCCCCAACCACAACACCTCCAGTGATATTCCGAGGGAACCCAGAGTCCCTTGGGAGAAGGGGGAATCAGCAAAAAAATTATTTCCCCCTTCCATTCATGGAAGCCTCCACTAGATCAAAGAGCCGTCCGAAAATAACACCACTGGATATAGCCTGTTGTGTTTACTACAGAAGAAGCTTTTCCTTCAAAGGTATTTGGTACAGTAAGTTTTACTTTCTGTTCTGAAATCACAAATTATGGTTACATTCTTAAAGAGGCCAACGGCTACATAGCAAGGAGGAACACATACATCAAAGCAAGGCATAAACAGATTAAGAGGAAGCGTAAGTTTGCTGGTTTCAACACAATTCACAGGACAAAAAGTACTAAACTTTTTGTTAATGTTACAAGGCAAGAGAATGAAGAAACACTAAGCTGCATTTTTACAGGCATTACAGCAAACAACCCTATCACACATTGTCAAGGTCCTCTTAACGTTCTAAGAGACTGAGCTATGACTCAAGAGGTCCCTGGTCCAAAACTTGCCTCTGCCATTCTCTCAGACTCCGTATGGAGGTTAACAATACTTAATTAAATAACATTACAGTGTTGTTGGAAGGATTACTATTTACGTGAAGCATTTTGAAGTACCATACCAATGTCAAGTACTATTATTTAAGAATAATTGTGGCTGAATATTAAGCCTGTTATCTCAGTGACAGCTACATTTCAGAAACCTATATACTGAATTGTTATTCCTGGCAGGAACCTTATAAAGCCAACTGACTGAGCCACAAAGAAACAAAAATGCATAGATCTTTGATATGTCTGTTGAAGGTTGATATACATTTGTCTACCGGACTACTGAAAGTGGGGGGAAATTATCCAAGTATATGCATGTGACACAGAGAAAGAAATATGGCTGCATTATGTCGCAGTGTTGTAGCTATTTCGAATGCAAAGGTATCTATCTTGACCTGCAAAGTCTGAAAGAAAAGCAGTATGATTTTCCAGACTAGTCTGTCCCTTGAATTTTAAACATTCTTGCCCACATTATAAGAAGTAATCATGGCCAAACTAGAAGACAGCTATGCAGACATTATTGGTAGCTCATGAAAATCCCAACTTCCAGTATGTCGTATGAACACTTGCTCATTAATCTGATGAAAGAGAAAAGGAGGTGTAGATGTGGCTTGGGGGGGAAAAAATCTGTTTTCCTTTTTTCTTCATCCCATAAATCAGACACAGATGTGTGGTATAGCACTGTAAAACCCTAAATAAAACACTGTCATGTGAAAGAGGAGGAGAAAACATCCTTTCTATGGTGTCTAGCAAGACAAAAATAAAATGCAGTTCAGATAAAGAGGAGACCTGATCGCAAACATGTGCTGTTTACAACCCTTTCAAGGGCAAATCCCCCTCCAAGGCTGAGATGCAACCAACTGTTGCCAATTGCTGACACCGACTTGAACTTTAATGCTTGCTGCCAATGCTAAGATTCCCCCCACACACACTCATCTGATCTTATAAGCTTCTAATTGAAACAACTTCATCTTAAAACACTCCCCGATACTACACGGCAGCAGACCCAAACCACACTGTTGCTTTCAGAGCCCTGGAACTGCCAAGGTGTTTTAACACAGATGGATAAACACAATGTATTGCTAGCATGCAATGTGTTCGCTGTTCAAGCCACTGTGTAGTGCTTTTCACACTAAAACCCAATGCCTTCCCTCAACCCCGCAAGCAGAAATGGCATTAGTCACCCAGTGATATTCTCTGCCAGGTACAACCAAATGAAAATTTCCTGGGATTAAATAGGTAGTGTTTATAAAGTTTAGACTTGATATTCCAAGGAAAAGACTGAAATAAGTATTGAAAGTTTATCTTCAATTTTCACAGCTCAAGTAAGATTGCCAGACTCCATTTGGACAAAAGCCTATACACCCGTAATTATGCTTATTATTAATGTATGTTATTGGCTGCAGCTCCACAGGATGGAACAGCTTCCGAACTGCAGCAGCAGAACTTGGTGGATGTAAAGGGGTGAGTCACCTGTCCAAAATGGAATCTGGCAACAAAGGAGTGAATCCAACGAACACTTCTGCAGTTGGAATGCCATCCACTCCAAAAGATTGATCCAAACTGAAATTAAACAAAATTTGCTAGCATTACATAAATGTTTTCTAGTAAAAGTAATAGCAGTGTGCTCTGGAATAAAGCCGCTTCTAAGGCTCCACGTGATTGCTTTGAAGAACTAGAGGAAGCCAGCAAAAGACCTCATGCTAGCACAACAAGGGTTCTCCCCACTCTCCTCTCACTGCACGCCCCTGGATTTCCCCCAAATCTGCTCTGGAGGCTCAGGAGTATCCCCAGAACAGTGCGGGGGGGAAGGAGGGCAGAGATGGTTCTATCTGGCAAGTAGAAACACTTGCAGTGATGTTGCATTAGTGCAGTGTTTTTCAACCACTGTTCCACGGCACACTAGTGTGCCGCAAGATGTTGCCTGGTGTGCTGTGGGGAAAATTGAAAAATTCGAAAGATTTTTTTTTAAAAAAAGTCAAATTTTCGCCCACTAGGTGGGCGCCGGACTGTGTCCACCCTATTTTCCATCCGTCCTGGGTGGGGATCAGATCGGATGGGATCGGATGAGAACGGACAGGCGGTCCGCTCTCATCCGATTCCCCATAGAGAGCAGCGGGGCTCTGACATCTCCCTCTCCGCACACAGTGCGGAGATGGAGCTGTCATCCGCCGGCTCAGCGGGGATTAGCGGATCGATCCCCGCTGAGCAGAGAACGGTCCGCAACGTTCGATTCCAGCCAGAATATCAGCTTTGTGTTCAGCCAAACAGGCCCAGGTTGCGCACTGAATAAAGTATTTTATAATTTTTCAGATTTCTGTTTACTTACTATTTCATAATAAAGTAATTATAAAATACTTTCTTTGTGTTTATTTGATTCCTATTCAAGAGAATTACTTTATATATAGTCAATATAGGCACAGAGTTAATTTTTTTAACATTTTCTAATGGTGATGTGCCTCGTGATTTTTTTCATGAAACAAGTGTGCCTTTGCCCAAAAAAGGTTGAAAAACACTGCATTAGTGCAAAATTCACTTCCATCCTATGTATATTACGTTTGTTACAGTATTACAAAGCACGTTCTAGCTCCCAATACTAAATGAAGGAATTGTATTGCGCCTTCACAGATGCATACTCATAGAATGAAACATGTTATCAATATGTAATATTGCAAATCTGTCATTTCAGTTTCCTTTTCCCCAAGGATTTGGGACTTTTGATTTTTAAATTGTTCATAAATGATCCACAGTTAGGGGCGAGCGGTGTGTCAGTCAAGCTGGCTAATGATACCAGAGTGTTCAGGGTGGTTAAAACAAAAAAAGGAATTGTGAGGAACTCCAAAACAATCGCTCAAAACTGAGTGGATGGGCAGCAAAGATGGCAAATAAATTCAGTGTAAACAAGTGTAAAATGATGCACATCAGGGCAAAAGTATCCTAATTTCACATACACACCAAGTCAAGAGACACTGGGGTTGCAGTGGATAGATAGTTTAAGATGTTGACCCAGTGTGTAGCAGTTGTGAAAAAGGTGAATTCTAGCAATCATTCAGAAAGGGACTGAAAATAAAATGGCCAATATAATAATGCCATCCCACAAATCTATGGTGCTACCATACTTTGAATATGGGGTACAGTTCTGGTTAAATCACCTTAAAAATTCTATTGTAGAGGTGGGAAAGGTTCATATTTGAAATGCAGTAAGTTGCCCTGAATGTATGTACCAAATATCATTATGATATCTTTGTCTCTAAGGCACA